TCTTGAACATGAAATCAATAAAGACCTTTTTTGTAAAATTTCCTATGAATATCTGCATGTTTGTCACTCAATCTGGTGAATGAAAACCAACCAAAATACATCCCCAAACCTTTCTCAGCCAAGAATGCGGATGGTCTTCAGCATCTTCTCAAGATGAGGTTTACAGTGTCAGTTGAAAAGTAGTTTAGAAAAGTAAGCTGGCATTGGGTGACTTGGGTTAGGCAAGCCACATCCTCTCTTAGAGCAAACCAAAATTATTGAATATATTTTAATGGAAGTGTCCTGATTTACCAGCAATTAATCTTGCCCTGTGTGTAAAATGTCTTTATACAGTAAAGTGTACAGTGGTCCAGCAGTTCATGTAAAAATGTTCTTCCTATTACTTCTGGCAAATAGCTCCATTTGAAACTGGTTTCTGACATTGGACATATCCCTGGTTTGGTGTGAGAAATGTGTCATAGAATCATTTAGGTTGGAAAAGACCTTTAAGATCTTCGAGTCCAACCATATGTCCAGTCAGTGTTTTGGTATTAATTACTTCTCTGGAAGCTCTTTCATGCTTTTATAGTTCATTAGTATTTATTTGCTTACGGTTTAGCCTGGTTTTAAATGTCTCATAACAATATTCCCCTGTCTTCAAAACTATCCTTTTATTCAGATACATGGTAGCTCTGAAGCCAGAGAGCCTTGGGAACAAAAAAGCAGCAAGTAGGGGCTCTGAAACAGGTCATTTAAGTTTTTAAAATAAGGCCACGGAATGTAACAGTATAACAGGTAAGGAGCACGTTTCCTCTTGTGTAGTGCTTTTTTTCTTAAAGGTTCTTTGAGAATGGTTTTTTATTAAAAAAAAAAAAAAAAAAAAGCTATAGCCAATTTATCTTAGCTTAGAAGCATTGAGAAAATATAAAACTTACTAGAAATAGTCCCTGGTCCAGCCTACGAGGGACTGCTGAGAAACAATCAGAGGAGTTAATCTTCGTGAGTTTCCTCTACGAGTGGGAAAAACTATTCCCCTATTGGACATAATGTCTGAAAGGAAAAAGGAAAGGTGGACAAAGCAGGTCTTTATCGGATTTTGTTGTATGTTTACCACGACGGACACTAAATAAGGACAGCTCGGGAATTCCCAACCAATAGGTGAAATGGTAACTGTCTAAGAAAAAAGGCAAAGCAGTAGTGTTATTTGAAGCTCTTCAGTGCCCTGATGTGGCAAGCAAACAAGGCACTCTCAGCGCTTGCAGGAGGTCTTCTGGTAGACCAAAGTTTTCCCAGAAAGAGACGATAGTATGGCACAAAGATGCTCAGGAATTTTACCTGTTGACTCACAACAAAAGGAAGAAGCTGAGGCTGAATCTTAACAACCTTTAAGCTAGTTCTAGTATGTGAAATATACAAAGATCAGTATAAAATACCTGAAGAGACTGCCAGAGAGGAAAAGCAACTTGGAAAGATAACTTACAGTGGCAGCAAAAGAAAGAGAGAAGAACATTCTCTTGTGTTGGGACCAGTGTCTCTGCTAGATGGAGCATTACTTGAGATCACGTCCAAAAAGCATTCATATTATTTAAGGGTAAAATTTCCCACCAACAGACATCATGTCTGACTGGTGACGTCTACATGCCGAGGGCTGTGCCAGCCCAAGAGCCCGAAGGAACCCATTCAGAGTGAGGAAGCCTGACCCTTTCGCTTGAGCAAGGCCAGGTAGCTGAGTAGGGACTTATAAGCTGTAGGGCATTTTAACCTATTTCCTCATCAAATTTATAACTGTTTTCTGTCTAAAAGCGATGCCCTTGCTATCTGCAGGATTAGCCAAATGGTTTAGTGTGTAAAACACACTGGATGTTTCTGGCAAGGATCCGAAATATTCACCTATAACCAAGACAGACATTGAGCCTACAATGTAAGTACATTGTCATGACAGGTAGCATAAGAAATCCTGCTTCACAATTGTATGTTTTAGTAAATACTGTCCCTTAAATCTGAGCTTGGTTACATTTTATGGTACACATACAGATCCTACGTTTTAGGATCTTTTAGAGTTCTTAATGTTGCTTTATCTTCCAGTCATGGATACGATATTTCAGACACAGCTTGGGGGAAATAAAGGGACTGTTTAGAAAGCTGAACCAACAAAAACAAGCTACCTCCAGACTTTTTTCTGCATGGGGGACGTTTATGGCTGCCCCAAATGTGCATATTTTTTTCATTGCTTGTAAACGAGTATTAATTTTCTGGATTTCCCCTCTCAGAACAGTCTTTAGTTTGCTTCCCGTGGCAGAAACAGGAATTTCCTTGTGGGTCATATTTCAGGGTGTTTGTATTTATACACGGACTATAAGAAGGCAGTCACAATGCAGGGCAGGGACACATCGTGCTTTGCTGCAGGAAGCAATACAGGGAATCTGGAAATAGTTCAAGGTGTATTCCTCTAAGATCATCTACACCATAAAGTCATTTTGCCTGTAAGTATTAACTCAGTTTGTTTTCCTTATCTTGGTATTATATTATGGAAGTTTTATAATAACCTACATCTTAATCATTTGCAGCATTTTATTTGCGTTTCGACTGAAGTGCCTCATTGCATTTCAAAAGGTTGAAAGCAGTCAGATCTTTTAATGCCAGGCATAGAAAAACCTGAGGGGGTGTAATCATGGAATTGGCATTGTCTATTCTGAATTAGACATAATCTGTTTAAAACATTGCTTTCCATTGAAAAGACAATTAAACGCAACAATTAAAAACTTTTTCCCTAAATGCAGAGTGAGAGAGCACAACCGTAATCTCACAGGTTTTTCTCTTCCCACCTGCAAATCTTGACTTTTACTGAAACCTACAAGAGACTTTTATCCTGTCATAGGCTTTTGGAACATTGTTTTGCAAGAATTGCATGGTTTTCCAGTTGTGGTGACTGTCAGTCCTATTGAAAAGAATATTACATTGCCTTTCATTGCAACCCCAGGCTTGTGTCCCTGCTATTGCCACTAACAATTTGACTTTGTGTGCAGTCATTTTTAGTTTGGTAAATTGCTTTTTTGTCCCTTTTTTTTTGGTAGGCAATAGATGAAAACCCTAGCAGTAAATTTTGTAACACTCTGTCACAGCATTTGTACAACAAATCTTTCTCCCAAAAAGGCAAAATTGCATAGGTTTCCCTAAAAAAAAAATTTAAAAAAAAACCCAACCAAAAACTACAGGCAGAAATGCTCTGCAGAGATCTCCAGTGAACCTAAGTTTGCAGTGGGTCACTCTCATTTACAGATTGGTACTGCCTGGAACAGGAGGTGTGGAAGCCTATAGCTTTTGTTGTGTGTCAGAGGTAAAATATTGTGTGTAACCCACCCCACGTCAGGTGAGTGAGGACAGAAAATAACCGACCATTTCCAACCACCACTCCTGACTGTACCATGTTTACTTCTGGCACCGTGGAGTAAATCACTGAAGAAACAGAAGCAAAGGACACCCCTTAAATCTCTCAATCCAGCCAGGGACCTCAGCAAAGGACTAGAGAACAGCACTTGCAATCCTTCAAATTTTCTTAGAAGAGGCTCTGCAGCTTCAGGTGGTACGTGTTTTGGAGACTGTGTAACCTTGTAGCTAATAAACAACTGCAAGCCAAGTTACTAAAAGGAAAGGATTTGATTTTGCAAGGAGTGAGAGCGTCGGGGTAAGGCAAAGGGAAACTTTTGAAAAGTTTCCTAAATGATGTTACAAACAGCATGCTATTACAAATTGGAATTGTAAGTGTATGAGATAAACTAAATCTGATTTTAAATAAACAAGAAAGCAGTTGTGAGATAACAAAAAACTGTCCAGTGTGCAAAATGTAGTGCCGTGTATGCAATTGATTGGGAGGAGTGCAGAGCTCACATACGAATTCCAGAGAAATAGCAGTGCTTTGGAGGTCTGGCTCTGTTATTGAGACACCTAAATGGTGTTCTTCTCAAAGGAAAGCACCGAAAGGCAAATTAGCTCAAAAAAAAACCCAATGGAAGCCCGTTAACCAAACCCACCTTTTACTTTCTAAATGCTCCATCTCCGTATCCTTGCACTTATCAAATGCCACAGACTGCTGCCTCTATGTTTTGTTGAAGGGTTATTTTACAAAACTTTGGAGAAGTCCATGGAAATGCATCCGTGCATTCTGCCTCCCTGCCAGCCTCTATTCCCATCTCTGCCACAGCCTGGCTATTGCCAATGAGCAGATTATTTAACTTCTTCTCAGGTTTACAGCGAGATTCCCATTGCCCTGGTGATATTGGAGGAGACATTGCAAAAATAAGCTGACATAAATAAAAACAGATACTCTCAGTTTACCCCTCTGAAAAATCATAATACTAATCCACCTTTTAGAAAGCTGTGAAGTTTATTTCATCGCTGTTTATAAATTGCTCTGAGGGCATTGTATTAAAAATGCTACAGACTTGCAAATTACTGTAATTAACATAGATTTTCTAAATAGATTTTAAACTCTGTAGGCTAAGCTATGCCTATTTTATACAGGGCTGATCACACTGCTAGGGCAGTGTCAGAAACATACATAGGATGCAATATTCCTTGGTTACAGGTGGTGTGTGTAGGGTAAATGAAGGGGCAAAATGAAGTTCTGTGGGCAGGTGTCACCACTTCCTAGGCAAATCATCTCTTTGGCCTATATAAATTTGTAATTTTTACTATTCGTAATTTTATAATTATATTATAGTAGTATAAATATAATATAGCATATAATGTATATTTTACTTTATAATATAAAATATTATTATGTATAATATGCTTAAATGAATAATAATTATTATCATTATTTATATAGTTTATTATAGATCATTCTATGTTTATATTATACAGTTTAATCATCACTAGGAAAATAAACTCTTGTGAGATATTTGTTATTTTCTCAGGTAACTGTGCATGCAGTGAAATGCTGCTCAGCAGCAAGCAAAGCAAAAAACATTAGCTTCAAGGTTTCTGCTCTCTTTACTATCTGGGTGGAAGAAACAATCAGAATGGCTTCTACAAGTAAAAGAAATTCTGCAGGTAAAAAATTTCATTTACTAAGATTTTTCGGTAGTAAGGTTGAATCAGGTTTCAATCCATTCTTATCAATATATACCATTCTCTTTGCCCTCCACCTGCCAAGGATTTTGTAGTAAACAATAGGTGAAAAACAGGGGAAAATGGCATACTGAAAAATTTGGAGATCTCATATGGACTTGCACTGTGTGTTAATTCTGCCCCTCTGCTTTCTTCCTTAAAGAATCTGTCCTAAATGCAGCATTTCCCTTCATAGCAGAATTTTTCTTGTCCCTGACACTGAGGTTGAACAATCATTTCTAAAAAAAGTTAAAACTGTACTCCTTTCAGTCACTGATTTTTTTAAAATTCTTAATTTCCCATACACGGTTTATAGCTTAAAAAAAGGAATGCCACTCCTTTCATTGGCTGTTAAAGTGCATTTATAAAACGGAAATTTTTGATCAGAAATCCACCAGTGATTAGAAAATGTGAATCTTAAACTACAGCTGGCTACAGAGTATGCAGGGTTGTGAACAAATACGTTCAGGCGTTTCCCCCCCCCCAGGTTTTTAGCTCATATTTTACTTGTAAGACTTTTTCCTGTTGTCACATCACGATTCACGATGTAAAATGATCTTTCCTTAGCTGTGTTTGCAACCTATGCAAATTGAATGCCATCTGCAAATTTCATTAGGGGGCTGTTTACTGTCTTTCAGATCACTAATTGTGAAGTTAAATAAGACCAGTTAAATAAGACAGAGGCTCATGATATCTTTCGAGCCCCCCATATACGTAGTCGCTGTAAAGTCTAATTGTAATGTGCTCTATGGCCATTTAAGCACTGAAACCCAGTGCTCAGCAACAATTTCCAGTTCAAGCAGGTCTTTGTAGAGATTAATTGGCAACAAATTAAGTAATGGTGCTGTTCATTTCTCTTTGATTAGTGAGAACTCAAAATACGTTTTGCCCTGAAGGTGGAGTCTGCAAGCACGGATTCCTCATCAAATCACCACCCCTTCAACTTTTCAGCTCACAGGTATAATAGCACAGATTAGTCATATTCCAGCAATCCCTCAACAAGCATCTGTTATTTGTGCTATCCTGAATTTTAATGAGAGACAAATTACTTTCTCTTCGGCAGAATTCCTGGAAAAGGCGTTTTTTCATCCTGTCCAAATCCAGCAAGGGCAATTACATCCTGAAGTATCTAAAAGGCCAGAACATAAAAGGCTCCATAGCTGTTGATCAGTATGTAACTCAAATGGATCACCTTTTTATTTTAAGTCATGTATCAGCACTCTTAAATCGCCACTGATTGTATAGACACTTGTTCCTGATCGAGGTTCTTGATCCAAATCCTCCTGAAGTCCAGAAGAGAGTCCCTTGGGCTTTTGTAGGCTTTGGGTGCAACTTACAACGTATGATGTATGTAGAAGTAAAAATCTGAAATTGCTTTGATGAAATTTGATATGTTTATGTGTGTGATTGTGGTGAGGTGGTATCTGCAAACCAGACTTCTTGGCTCCATGATCCCAAAGGCTGCATTCCTGTAGTAGAAGATATTTTATCTCCCGTGAGGACATTCACTCACATGCGAATAAGGATGGGCTATGCCACTCTTAACTGTGGCACACAACCCTTCCCACCTTACGGCTTTACGAAGTGCTTTGCAGGTTGTGAAGAGGTCTCCTGGCTTTCACATAGCCCTTTGGGCTGATGCTGGCTGCCCAACTGCCTCTTACTCCAATGAGAAATTGCTGTGCTTGGCTCGTTTGGGTTTGTCATTTCATTCCTCTCAGCACAGCGCCCACTGCAGCAAGGCTGGGTGTCATTGGCTTTGTACTAGCGCTCTTTACCATGTCACATGTGGTATGAGATACATAGAAAGGAAACAGTAAGTGTAAAGGGAAATGTAAAGATTTTACCTGTCAGGCCTGGGGCTAAATACTCCAGGCTCCTGGAATTGTTAGGCATGGAGGTCACTGGACTCACATTGCTGTTGAACTTCTTTGATTAAAAGGATTTACATTGTGAAGCTTTCAGAAAAATTCCAGTTTGCTAAATGGTATGTGGTTACGTTATTACCATCACTATTATTATTTTTACTAATTTAACTTCTTGGTAGTTAATGGACGTAGTACTTCCATTTAAGTATTCATTAAGAGTACTTCTTGTCTGTTCCTCTTCACCTCCATTAAAACACTGTTAACATACAATTAGTTTCAAATCGAACATATTGTTCTGTAGTGGTTGAAAAACATCTACCAGGATTTTTTCTTATTATCACTGCTTTTCAGATTCTGTGTTAGACCAACAGCCCCTTTTTTCGGAAATGAGGATCCAAAATCTGGACATGAGTCTTTGCAAAAGCTGTTTTTATTTTATTGCTTGGAAGTTTTCGTCATTGAAGGACCATTTGTTTTGAACATGTGTGCTTATTTTCTTCAGAATTTTTTCTGTGGAAAAATGTTTACCTATTCCCATGCATATCTCATCATATTATGCTGTGCTTAGAGTAAAATGCACACACACACATATGTATGTGTGTGGGTATGTTGATATGTATAGTTATATAGGATGTTTTATACGGTTATCTTAACAGAATCATAAATATCGAAGTTGGCATAAGCAATTCTGAAATTATGGAAACGGTGAGGAAGATGTTTAAGTGCCTTCCTGAACAGGTGATGTCTGTCAGCACTGGAAACAGACATTACTACCTCATTGGGAGCAGCAGGTAGGCATAGAAAGATGTGCAAATGCAATATGACATTACAGTTAAGCTAATGTAACACTAAGCCACTGCCCCAAGGCAAGGTCCTACTCCTCCACAGCCGCTCCCATCCCTTGCTGTGTCTCAGCTGCTGATGGAGTAGCTCTGGGATGAAACGATTCAGCTGATTAATCCAACAGAAAACTGTTCTTTTCTATGTCTTATTTTTTGCTCCTGTGGTCAGGTTAATTTTTGCTGGTTCAGGCAGGTGAGCTAACCTTCCCTGCGGCCACACTGTTTTAACATCCTATATGTGGAAGTAGCGGGAGCACATGGCTGGGAGTGGGGATGGCAGCGGCAGTACATCAGTGTGGTGGTGCCATGTCAAACTCTGCTGGTTAAGGGTCAAGGAAAAGCAGAGAGCTTTGCCTTCTCACCCAGCAGCTCCTGGGAGTTAGGAAAGTTTCCACTCCTTATGGATAAATCACAGGAAATAATCTTGCCCTGGTTGTTAATCAAGGGAAGCAAATTTAAAGGGAAAATTCCCCCAAGGGAAAACAGATCCCAAAAGGAACACCTGGGGCCTTTACTGCAGCAAGGTGGCATGCTCCCTGCTCTCCAGGCTGCAATCCAGTCCTCAGCAAGGGCAGAAACTGCTGCAGTCGAGGTGGTCAGCCAAAGCTCGGTTAGGTGAGGGAGGACATTTGGCACAGTGCTCCTCTACTGCCGCTTCCCAGCTTCTCCTCTTCAGTTTCCCAGCCACAGGCATGTCAGGGGGTTTTCTGCTTTTATGCAGAAGAGCAGCTGATGTGTGAAATGCTGATAAGCGCAGAAGAAAAATACATACCTGTGTGTTACTTGAGCGTGCCACCCCACGCCTTCCCCCAGGGCACTGCTCTCACTGCCCTCACTCCGTGGGAAGTGTTCCAGAATTAATCCAACTAAATCCACCGCAAACATGAAACAGGGCTTCAGGAGTCCCTTCATGGCATGTTTCTCGTCCTGCTTGCCCAAATGCATTCCGAAGCCTTGTTAGCTATCTTTATGGTGGGACTTGGCAGAGCAGCATTACACACAGACAATGAAGCAGAAAGCACCGTCCCACCTCTCCGTCTCTCTCCCTCTCCATGCCTCCTGCACACACACACAGCCCCCCTTGCACAACTTTTAGCTCCCAGTCCTGGGCCGCACCTCTCTGAGGTCAAACTTTGCCATCTGGCTACGGCCACCCCAGCACTCTTTCTTGAAAGGAAGGTGCAGGTTTTACCCGTTGATTTCAGGAAGCATTATTTTGGGCCCCAAAGGAAGAAGTTGGTAGGCAAATGGGTTTTCCGTGGGTTTTGCCTGCGATTAGGTTTTCATTTCTGTTGTTCCCACCTACAGGCAGGAAACAGAGGACTGGGTCACTGCGATATCTTCAGTCTGCGGGGAGGCCAAAAGAGGTGGATGCTGCCCTCAGGTGACATGTTACTGCACTTGATTTTAGAAGGAAAGAAGTGTAATTTCATTAGAAACCCATGCAAAGGAATTTTCCTGATTTTGGCCTTGCAAGTTGTCTTTTGCCTTGTTTAATCAGAAATTAATTTTCCATATAAATCCTGTACCGTGGCTTTATGCATTAAGCAGGCATTGCACAGTCTGTCTGCGCTGGGATTGATTTTGCATTGAAGGAATCTTTTTGAAGAGTAAGCCACATGGAAATTAGGAGACGATTGACATTATGCTGCAATGAATTGCATCTTTGATGCATCAGAAGGAAAACTTGTGTGTTAATTCTTACCGTGTGCTTTTTGGTTATATTTACATGCTGATCCACACCTAGTCTGTCAATGTAGGAGCAGCTGGAAGCTCTGTTAGTTCAAGCTGAGGCCCAAGTTTCTGCACCTTGTTGGCCGGCCAGGCTGACTAGTTCAGACTCAGCACTAAGCTGCTTACATCCCTACCGCTTCCACTCAGCTCAAAGTGCAAGCAGGACAAATTTATGTCTGCCTCAAAAATGCCACTTAGACAACCTCTCTGAGCCATTAGAAGTAAAATTTGGACTAGTGGGATGCGTTGGTACGTTGTAGTCTATGCCCATCAGGTGCTTGCCTTCTTACACTGCTGTCATCTTGTTTCTAGACCCAAGATCTTCCAAATCCAGAAGTCAGAAGCCGGCCCTCCTCTTTGCCGCTATTCTTGAATTCTTCAGATACAACCGGTTTCCCAGAAAGGCAATGCTACCAGAAAGTAAACAGATTTGCCATCCTTAATAATGAGTTTGCTCCTAGGGGTGACTGGGAAATTTGATTTGTATAGTTGCTTTTTTCCATCAAAAGTTCTTCAGAGCTTGTGCAATGGGTGCCCGATCTGTTCTGCTCTCCAGTGGGATTTCTGAGTAGGACCTGGATAATAACTCTCTGGAGCACCCACAAAGGGAAAACTTTTGAGCCAAGTCTGCATGTAAGCAGCAATATTCATTGGCTGTCTCAACAGACTGGCAAAGCTTGGTGGGCATGAAATAAGCCCCTGCAGGTTTGCTTTGACACGCCTTGGCAAAGCCACGTGATGATTGTTTTGACCGCTGCCTCCCACATTCCTCCTGGTTTGTGATCGTGCTTTTCTTTGTCTCTCTTTTCAGGCTCTAAAGCCTAGAGAGGAGCTCAGGTCCAGGTCCTGTGTGCCTTCCAGGTCTTCCCCCTTGATACTCAAATAGAAAGGAAGGAAAGCATTGCTGCTGTCCCAGAGCAATTGCAGTCCCCATCCTCTGGTGACAGGCTGAATCAAAGCCAAGGGAGTGTTGGTTTTCTCTAGTCACAAAGCTGTGTGCAAATACCCCAGCTGGAGCAAGCAGAGTGCAGGTGAAGCATCTCCAGTGTATCTTTAGGAGTCGTCAATGTTTTTCTTTTGTATACAGGAGAATGGTCCCTCAGAAGACAAGAACAGGCCTAATTCGGACCCTGGTCTTCATCAGGCTCAGTGTGACTCACCAAGAGGAGTTTTTCCAAGCCTGGTGAGCAGAACAAATCAAACAGCTCTTGACTTGTTCAGTCTGCAGTGACTATTGGCTCTTATCTCACCTGAGTATCTATAGATTATTCACCTATTTTCCCAGCAGACTGAGTTGGTTTTCACTATGACAGTTTCCTAAATATGGTTAGTCTGTTGTCTCATTTAGCACTGAAAATAACCTGCTAAGAACTTGCTCAAAATACCCTTTGTGTACTTTGTTTTTTAGAGGCGCATCCTCAGAATTTCTTTGCAGCAACTGTAACTTACAGCAGCTCTCACAAACTTGCTCAAGAAAACTCTGAAGTTGCAATGCTTGAGGATTTGCTCCTCCCATCACATTTCTCAGCTGTGCTATATTCTTCCTAAATGGTTTCTTTCTCCAGCCTCTGCCGGTAGCGATTGAATCAATGTAACTGCACTACAGAAGAAGGGCTTGTTCAATAGATGCACACCTCAGGCCTGACCTTCTGTCACCATAAATATAACTTCAAGTAATTTAGCTTCCATATCTGGCAGAAATGATTTAAAAAGATGCAATGATGAATGTTATCATGTATTATTGGCTAAACATTCTGACCTGTGTTCCCTGAGCAAACACCTGCAGCAGTTTTGGATCGTTTTCACCATTCCTCTGCCCTGGATTACTGCCTTTGCAGCAGAGTCAACAGGACAGAAGGGACAACCAAGGCTCTATTACACCAGTACGCAGTTTGGCAGCTGAGTTTAAACCCATCTTTATTAACAGTTTATGCATTGGACTATGATCTGGAGTGTCTGAGATACAGGGAGAAGAATCTATTCTGCTATCATAGCTATCAGGGTGGTAAATCATATGCTGCAGTCACCATCCATGTATATAGGCTGGCAGCAAGGATGAGATAATACAGCTAAATTTAGTGGAAAGTAGTAAAAAATAGTTGAAACTACATTGCAATGCTATGGGCAGTTTGCATAGCTCAGCTGATGCACAGTACTTTCTGAAGCTGCAATAATTCAATTGTGAGTCTGAGCTCTGAAATGCATTGAGTTAACCCTTAGTCTGATTTTAACTAGTGCTGCTCTGGATGCATACCAAGGCTCTCTTTCTGTCTCCTTCTTACACATGCCTTTTCTGTCTCGTTCATTTATTCTTGTCATACTTACGATGCCTCAGAGAGCATGTATTGCATGCAGCTGTTCAGACTAGGACAGACTGACCATGAGGGATAAAAGACAAGGAGTTTGGATTTTACCTTTCTAGCCTGAAGCAGAGGGAATAGCAGGAAGCTCATATTTCTGTTTCAGCAGGTGTGAAAATAAAGACATTTGCCATACAGCTGACAAGAAACAAAAAAAATTTGTTCATTCGATAAAAATATTTCACTTGCTTCATAAGTTTAGCATCTGCTTACATCTCCGGATCTATTCTCTGCTCAGTGATGCCTAGACAGCTGACTTCCAGATTAATCCCTTGTATTTACTTCCTGTTAGAAGTATGACTCCACATTTCTAGTATCTGATTAATTTTGCTTTTTATCAGTGGTTCCCTCATCCAGGCCCAGATCTTGAAAACTCTTTGGTCGGCAGCCGTTACTCACGCAGACAGGCCTGTCGATGTCAGTTGAGTGTAGTCATGCAGGCAGGGACGCTGGAGAGGTCTGGCTCCCTTTCAGCCCCCATTTCAGAGCTACCAAACCACATCTGACTCAGCAACTCAGTATCACCTATTTTGAAACACACGGCTTTCAATACCTGAAAAACATCAAAATAAGGAGCCCTGACTTGCCTTACCCCATACTGCTCATTACTGTATCCCAGGCACCTACACATCCTGGTCAGGAGTCTGTCTTCAATATCTGTTAGACACACCTGATTTTTTGAAAGAGAAGTTCATCTGTCCGAGGGCAGCACATAACTTTCCCTAAGGAGCCTATAACTAACAATTACTCAGTTGTTCTCCAGCTATAATTTCCATCTTGTTCTACAGCCAATTTTGCTCCATAATTTCTTTCTTTCTAATGTAGATCCACACCATGGTTCAACAGAGGCTTAAAGTACTCATTTAGCTGCATGTCTGAGAATAATTATACACCGAGGTTAACTGCAGTGCACTGGTTGTAAAGCACCTGGAGGAACAGAGATGTCAGCAAAATGCTTTAGGGAAAAGCAGTGCTGCAGCATAACCTTCTCCTTCCCATTGTCCCCAATATCTGCGATGGTGCCAAGGAGGAACCCTGTGTTCGGCAAAAGGTAGCCACTGTCAGTGATGGAAGGCCCAGTATGGGAAGCTGATGAGTGTCGTCTACTTTCTGAGATTTCCTAGAAGATTGAGGATCTCAATCTTCATAAAATCAGCTCCTCTTCCTCCTTTTCTCCAAGTTTTTACTTGTTTGATTGATCCAAACCCCTTGATTTTAGATCATGACCACAGAGCTGGTCTTGTTCCTGCTGTGGTTTTGTTACGCAGTTCTTGAAGGATCCTTTGCAGGTTTGTTCTGACTCCTACAGCATTAGCTGCTTTTTATGTCATTTATACCAACAAGGAACAAAAATACATTCATCATCTTTAATTTCTATTCAATGCCAGTTTCTTCTCTTTACATGTAAGAAAGTAATTAGTTTAATTTACCTTGAAAACAGTAATATATTCTGTGGCATATTTAGCAATTATTAAAATTTTTACCATGGAAACCAAGGATGTAAGTGAAGAGATAAAAAACAGTTGCATCACAAACATGGCATGGAGAATTGCATTGGGAGGCAGCTAAATACTAATTACTATACTCTTCATTATAGTGAAGTCAACAAGAAGACATAAAAATAAATAATTTATATTTGTGACTTAGAAAGGTAAGCTTAGTGGGGCGATTAATTTCTCCTTGTCTTACCAAATTGCCACAAACTTAGTATTTCAGTTATTTATGAAGGCAGAATATCACTCAAGACACAAACAATTCAATGTCAGATCTCCATCCCTCCAGAGTATGTTCTTGATCGTCGAGAAGTATGAGTTAACAGACTTCTCATTAGTCAGGGAAGTCCCAAGTTCCTTCTTCACTTGATAGCAGTTAAAAGGTGCTTAAAATGGGCAAATATATCCTGATCCACTGCTAGATTTCCTACAGGTGTTTTTGATAGCATAAGGACTTTGGAACTGAGAGCAAATAAAAAGTCGTTTCCGCACAAGTGAATGCATGCACACCCTAAATGCATGCAGACTCATACATGAAGTGTTTAACCCACTTGATTTTTAAACAAAATAACAGGTTGTGAACATGCAGTCAGTTGCAACTGCCTGGTTACCACAAATCCGTCTACGAGAAGTACTAATACCAGTGGCCAGTTTTGTCCATGTGCAGTGGATCTCAAAAGTACAAGGAGCACAAATACAGAAACCTCGTTTCTAGAACAGACTGGCTCTGAGCACATCTCACTTCAAGGAAAAACATGTCTTCCCGTGTTTTCTGTGGATATTTGCTGATGCTATTTTTTTTCCATGTAAATGGAAAGATACAGGTTAAATAATCTGTATAGCTGAACCTGTTAAACACGAACCCATTCTTTTAACAGAATAAAAATCTGGG